CTGCTGGGGCGGGTGGCTGGCTGGGCTGTGGTGCCAGCAGCCCGTTGTTGGTGGGGAGCAGAGCCGAGAGGCTGGTACGGGCAGATGGGCTCTGTGAAGGGCAGGAGCTTCACGTCCCAGCTGACTGTGGTCAGTTTAAAAAAGCAACCACAGCACAAGAAAGACACTTGGCTGGCGTCTGACACGTCCCGTGCAAGCAGGTTCCTGGCTTGGGTGGAGATGGTCTCACCAAGACATCCTTTCCCAAGGAGATCCCTTCCTGAGGTCCATGCTTGCTGGCCAGGCGCAAGGTATGGGATTAAAAGGAGCACCTCTGCCCCACGGCATCCCTGGCTGTTTAATTAAGCGCTGACGGGCCCATCGCAGCGCTGTGCAGCAATATCCAGGCTCCCTGGCAGGAGAGCGTAAGGAGGTCAGAGACCAAGTAGCTGTTCACAGCAATGGGAACAGGTTATTGCCTCGTAAAGCAGTGTGGCTGTCCTGAGACCACTGTCACGCTAACGTTATTCCTCTCTTAAGGCCCCTGTGTGATGGTGCCCATGTGACACGGTCATTGGGATGGGGATTTATTTCCTTCTGGCTGCAGAGCTGAACTCCCACATTTGGGGTAGTTGTGAGGAGAAAGGGGAGAAGTATGCTGCTTCCAGCCTGCTCCTGGGAGCTGACAGCGAGGAGTAGATGTCTCCTCTCTCTGGCTGAGATGGCTCCAGTGAGTGGGGAGAAGGTCTGGAAATGTGACCTGAGAGCCCCAGAGCTTTCCACTGAAGCTGGCTGGGATGTGCCACATTCCCAGTGATAACAGCAGTGCAGAAAAAGGGCTAAAAGATAAAATAATCCAAATCTGTGTTTTAAAATTTCCCACAGAAAAGTAGCAGAGCAAACACTTAAAGGCAAAAGTATTTGGGGATGCACTGCTGAAACAGATTTCTCCCCCAAAGAGTCTGAAAATTGCTGTTCAAGTGGGGCTTTCCCAGTGACTGCCTGTAGCTTGTCCCCATATCCACCATTTGTCCACTGAGAAAGTACATAAATGAATGCAAAATTGTGTGCAATTCTGGAAATGCTATTTGGGATCTGCTGGTGGGATGTGACCACAGTGGGGCCTGGGTGATGTCCCCTCAAGGCCTTGCTGTCCCTGAGAGCAACCGCTGAGGGCTCCTGGGATTGTTTGCTCTTGCAGAAGCACCCCCGTGGGTCCTGCCCAGTCCGGGTGCCTCGACAGCAGTGTCCTTCCAGCTTGGGTGGCACGCGGGGTACTGGTGGCAGCTCTGGGTCCTTCGGGAGAGTCCCTTCCTGGTGCTCCCTGTCACCGACTTTGTGTCCTTGGCTGAGGGGAGACCTTTTAGCTTTCTCTTTAACTACCTGAAAGGAGGTTGTAGTGAGGTGTTGGTCCCTTCTCCCAAGTAGCCAGCGACAGGACGAGAGCAATGGCCTCAGATTGCGTCAGGGGAGGTTTAGGTTGGATATTAGGAAAAACTTCATTACTGGAAGAGTAGTCGGGCATTGGACCAGGATGTCCAGGGAGGTGGTGGAGTCCCCATCCCTAGAGGGGTTCAAAAAATGTGTAGATGTGGCACTTCGGGTCATGGTTGAGCAGGCATGGTGGTGCTGGGGTGATGGTTGGACTTGATGATCTTCGAGGTCTTTTCCAACCTTAATGATTCTGTGATTCTGTGGTTCTCACACTGTGGCACCTGTCTCGGTGCCCACAGCCCTTCCCAGCACGAGTCCCCTCTGCCGTCGCCCTGTTCCGTCCATTTAAGTTGCCAGCTCATTGCCTTCCTCTGCCGCTTCTCGTGGTGCCAGACAACAACTTCCCTGGCCCTCCCTGCCCGCTCTTGCTCGAGCATCCGAGGACAGCGCTTGGCTGTTGCTCGTGCCCGCTGCACGAGGGAGGATTCGTCCCAGCTCAGCGCGGAGCCGGAGCGTGCATGCTCGGAGGTGTGTAACCTGCGAGCGACACCCGCCGCTACTTCCAGCCC